GCAGGGTGCAGTTTCATGTCTTACCCAGGACAAATGAGGCCTCCTCCATCCCCATAGCCTCACCCTGTCCTCTGCAGTGTTCCTGGCAGAGCTCAGCAGAGAGATGTTTCTCCTCTGCTGGCTGATCATGAACTGCCCTCAGGTAAGGGAGCTGGGCCTTAAAATTGCCAACTTAATCCAGCACCTGCCCCTCCCTGGCCCAGTCCTTAAAGTGGCAGCATTACCGGTGCCCTGCCACATGAGTCCTGTACAATAGGGATGGTCCTCCTGTACTCCTATGTTTCTATACCATAGTGGAATCTTAATCCTGAATAAGGTCTCTTGGTACCTCAGTCCAACTTCCTGATTACCTCTAAAGAGCTATCTTTAAAAACAATTTCTCCCAAGTTTACACAGGCCTTAATGTGGGTAGAATTCAATCTTATTCCCTGAGTAGGTTTAAAGTCTGGTATGCCATGACTTTTCAGAGCTAACCATGGAAAAAGAACTAGGTGGAATTTTTTGGATTGACTAAAACTCTTAGGAGTTAATTCAGTGAATATTTTCACTTGGGGCAAAAAGTGGAAAGGCATTAAAGAAACTAGTGTTTTGGACATGTTTTTAACTGAACCATTTTCAGCATTTATTTGAAAACAAATTGTATTATGACATAAAATATGACACGTATTCTTTTTTTTATTTAAAAGGTTGAAAACATACAACCTGAAATTTCAATGTCTTATTGCAAGATGCCTCTTTGATTTCATTTACTTTCATTTGAAGTCAATCAAATCTAAGAGAGGTTGTTAGCCACTGGTTTAGAAAGGCATAAGCTTTTGTAAGTTAGAGCCTGCTCTTTCATAGCTTCTGATTAAATAAGTTGTTGCCTACAAAAGCTCATGCTTCCCTAAACCAGTTAGTCTCTGAAGTGCCACCCTGCCCTACCTTCTGCCAAATGAAGTAAACAAATAAAAATGGTGGCACTTCTTGAAGTGTGATACAGCTGCAAAAACTAATCTCACATGACTTTGGGCTTCACATCCTAACCTGAAGAGCATACATACTTTTGATAAGATCCTTTCTACCACTGCAGGTACTAATAGGGCTCATCTATATGTCACCCTACAGTGACACAAAGACACACTATGTCACCATGTGGCGTACTATGACAACGTAGCAATGATGAGGGTCTATGCATGATTGCCAGCTACATCGATACAGTGGCATGCTCCACAGTTATAGTGTGCCGCTACGGTGATGTAGTGGCAAAATCTGTGTGCCATGCATACAGTGCAGTAACTGCCAATGCTGTGCCATTCTTTATTGCTTCCAAAATGAAGCGCTAAAGCATGGCACCATAGCAATGCCACTATACAGTGGCATGTAAATGTGCCCATAGGGTCCTCATGCTACAGAATCTAAGCACCTCAGCAAATGATTTTTTCATCCCAGACACTGGAGAGAAAAGGGAAATTTCTTTAGAACTGAGAGAGATTATGTGATTTGTCCAAAGTCACATTGGAAGACTGTATTGGTCAAAAAAGTAGAGGTGATATCTGGGGTGATTTGTGAATGACAAGCCAATGAATGACAGTGCAGTGTCCTAACTAACCCATGGCCATACTTTCTTCCAGGTTCCCTCATTAAGAACAATGCTGAATTCAGTTTCTGACACCTCGCTACGTTCAGAAACATTCCAAAACCTTAAAGAAATTAAGAGAATCAAAATTTAAAAGGTTGAGAGACTGGGGGTATTAAGTTAAGGAAACATTTGAAGGGCCAAATCTGGATTGATTTGTATCTCATTAAACTCCCAAGGATATCAGTGAATTCCAGGGGTATATCTGCAGAAATTAAACCTGTATGAATGATAGAACTTGGCTAAAAATGACTAGGGAAAGATAGGTGGTGTGTGAATACTAAGAAAGAAGAGGAACTGCATTATTATATGCATTATCCTCAGCCTTATTATGCTTGATCCTTGGTACAGGCAAACCTCACTCTGAAAAAACTTTGCTCGTTAACTGGCCTTAAAACATTTACAGAGGATCTGAATAATTTATATAGTTTATGGTGCGATTGGTAGGGAGCCATTAACTCTCTCTCTCTAAAAAATAAAAAAAAGAAAGAAAAAAAGGGAGTAGAGGGAAAGCTGTGGTGCTGCCAAAGGTAAAATCCAAAACAGTTTACTTAAAGAGAGATACAGAAATGCTTGATTGTTCTGTGAAAGTGATAAAGTTGAATAAGACAAAAATTCCAAATGTGTAATTCTTAAAATACTTGCAAATAAGATAATTAAATGTATTAGGATGGAAGGGATGTTTTAAAGAAGGCTTTGCAGTGATCTTAAAAAAAATCAGCAGCACTAGATAAAGAGATAATGCTTACGCTGAATCTCTCCATATGAAGTTTTGGGAACTGCAGTAAATACTGAAGTGACATTATTTAGTTATCAAACCAGAAGTAGACGGTTGTTACAGATAATCACTGTGCCTTATTTTGTGCCCAGGAATTACAGGATTTGTGGATAAAGTTAAGGAACATGTTATGTTGGATGCAGGTAAAAATGCAGCAGGGATTGTGGTTTAGGAGGTAAGAAGATGAAGGAATAGTGCTTTCTGGTAACAAACAGGGCAGTATCAAAGGGGGAAAGAACAGACTTATAAGAGGGCCTGTAGACTTCTTCCACTACATTACACAGTTTTGTAGGAAAAATGGCTGCTGTGAGCTGGTGTGTGTGGGCCAAGAGAAAGGAAGTAGGTGGTAGATCTACAGAAGGACTTGTATATCACAATGCTCAGTATCACAGCCCTTAATTCTGTGGTGAATTGCTGCATGGTGGAATCCATAGCCACAGGTTGGACAGGCATAGAAACAAGCATGTGGTCGTGGGACATGTGAAAGCCAAGAAGCTGAGTGATAACCTGCTTGAGCTAAAGAAGAGAAACTGAGAGAGACTCACTCCAGAGGACATGCTGCCTGGTATCTTCAATAGTGACCCAAGAAATGGAAGATAAAGGATCAAATTCCGAAGATGCATCCCAGCAAGCACTCACATGTAGTTTGCAGCACCTCAAACCCATTTGAGGGACCACAAACCACACATGGCACATGTGCACCCATTTGCCATGCTGCTAATTTGCATCATGGTGAGTTTTTTGACACGGAGAGATCCCAGTGTCAAAAAAACCCCCACTAAAAAAAGCCGTGTGGCGCATGTGGCAGCAGTGTGCACTGCCAGAAGTGGAGCTTGGCCAGCCACAGCCATACTCAAGCTGCTGACCAGGCTCTGAGTGGCTGGCTCAACATTGCTGCTGTCCCAGGAGGCCCCCAGAACCCCAGGTAAAACTGCTGGGGCCAACAGGTTCCTATTTACAGCAGTTTCTCCCCTATCCACCCCAGGGTTATTTTGCCACATACCAGAGTGCACGTGCAGGGGTGTGCTCAGGGACAAAGCAGCAGCACTTATTTGTTTCTCTGCTATTTGTTCCATGGGAAACACATACTTCTGCACATGTGGGTTCATTGGGACATGTTCCAAAGGGCAGAAAAGGGATTTGAACTTGAGTTCTCCATATCCCAAATATAATCACTAGGCTATTGAGTAAGAGCCTCCTGGCTGTATGTTTTGCAAGGGGTTATTCTGGTTCAAACACTCCTTCTTGGACTGGGCTGTGCAATATTTGAAAGGATGCTTAGTTTGCAAATTCTGATAGCCTGAGATGTGAGCTAAGTGCCTGAATACTTGGTTCTGTCAGGTTTTAGGTGGTTGTAGATAGGTCCAGTGGCACACATTTAGGTGTCTAAGGAGTTTGACTGGGGGAAACTTAGATCCTTGCAGGATCAAGAGGCAGTTGTGGAGGAGGAAATCCTGAGCAATTTGTTATCCAAACGACCATCTGACACAAAGTCTTTTGCACCAGGAAAGACAGGGTACCTGGTACAATGGGAATGAGAGATTGTTTTGTGTAGAGGGATGTCCTGGAGAAAGGCACAAGGTTTGGCTTCAGAGCACTGCATGAGCTTTTCCTGATGTCACTCTGTTTACTAGGACTACACAGATAAAATTATGCCCAACACTCTAGATTTGGAAGTGTCAGTAGTGTTATCTGATTATAGCACTTGTGTTGGGAGTGCTTTCTTTTTCTAATTCAAGATATGGAAGGGACTACAGAGGAGCACAAACTAGGTAGCTGCCAAATATGCTGCTTACTTCCAGCAGTCTTCAGTTAAAATAATCCAGCTAGCTCATCAGCTGAGTGGATGCTGTTTATGATAGTGCTGGATAAATCGCAAGACAACTAACTCAAGGGTTTATGTATTATTTCATCCTCAGTTCCCAAAGCATGCTAGCACAGGGTTCGCTCAAGTAGAAATTCTAATCCTTGTGGCTTCACTTCCCACAACGAGAGGTCTCTGGCAGCATGTTCCAGGCATGTGTGCATTTCTAATATGGTTAAGGCACTTGTTACACACACACACACACACACAGACACACACACACACACACACAGACACACACACACACACACACAGACACACACACACACACACACAGACACACACACACACACACACAGACACACACACACACACACACAGACACACACACACACACACACAGACACACACACACACACACACAGACACACACACACACACACACAGACACACACACACACACACACAGACACACACACACACACACACAGACACACACACACACACACACAGACACACACACACACACACACAGACACACACACACACACACACAGACACACACACACACACACACAGACACACACACACACACACACAGACACACACACACACACACACAGACACACACACACACACACACAGACACACACACACACACACACAGACACACACACACACACACACAGACACACACACACACACACACAGACACACACACACACACACACAGACACACACACACACACACACAGACACACACACACACACACACAGACACACACACACACACACACAGACACACACACACACACACACAGACACACACACACACACACACAGACACACACACACACACACACAGACACACACACACACACACACACACACACACACTTTCAAGTTGCATCTTAAAAGACGGTAACAAACAATTCAATTACCAACTCCAGTTACATATTTAAAGAAGCTCAGTTATGGTTGTGGCCTTTGTGTTCCAGATTACCTGGGCTGTTGTTGGGCTTGTCAAAATACATATGTAACTGCTGCTGGATTTGCAGCGTGGCTCAGGATCCCCGCAAAGGCAGAGTGGGAAAGTTTGCAGAAAGCTGTTGCTTGCAAGAGCAGAGGGAACTCAGCCCTGGGGCCTCAGGCAGGCTTAGAGAAGGAAAGGAGCCCCAAGACCACAGAGCTCGAGGAGGAATCGCCCTGCAGCTGGCCTGTGAAGTGAACTTACCCTTAGCGATGGGGAGAAGATAACCTGGTATCCTTTTTTCCCTCTGTGAGGCAGAGAAACCCATGGGCAGGAAAAACGATGGTAAGGTAGACTTGCCTCGGAAGGCAGGGTGTTGATCTGGGAAGGCTCTGGGGAGAGTTAACTGAGAACCAGCCTGGGGCTGGGTGAGTGAAAAACCCAGGGTTGTTGCAGTTATCAGCACAAGGGCCTGTGTCTGGGAATTGGAGAAAGGTGCTTTCGGGGAGAGGGGACAGTGTGTGTTTCTTTGCAGAAACCACAGACAGCTGGAGCAGGGCAGAGCTGCTTTTCTCCATGCAGGCTATAGCAGAGAGCAGGACTTTCTGAAGCAGCAGCACCAGCCATGGTTATTGTGTTGCCAGCATGAAGGAGAGCTGATGTCTTGTTAACCCTGTGAGCTCCTGCTGAAATTCACTGGAGTCCCAAGGTTTATGCTGGGGAGTTGTACTGAGGGTGTCTTTGATTCAATTTGTATAGAGTGTTTTAGTTCATTGATATCCTGTTTTGCTATTAACCTCATTCATCTGTTGACTGTTTTGTAAGTAATAAACTAAATAGTTGGACTGTATATACTCCAGTGCGTGGGGAAACCACAAGCTCTCCATGGAGTGGTAGCCCCAGCCTTAGGGGCTGAGAGGCTGACCAAGGCTATTTGACACCCCAGGACCCTGACTCGGGATGTGGGTGCGGGTAGCACTTCATGTCCGACAAGGGTGTAACTTGTAACTTTTTACAGATAAATACACCTGCTGTACATCTAATTTAAATGCATAGGATCTTAATTTTATAATAGGCAGTTTACCTCCTGTACCTTCTTACCCCTGACATTTCCCCTATGGCCACTCAGTGCTCCAGATAATTTTGGTTGGAACTGGAGTTGGAGCATGGGGAAGAGATGATAACCCAGTGCAGCACGGTGCACCTAGAATTGCATACTCTGGGCAGACAGGTAACTGTCAATTCACACTGAATAACAAAGCTCAGCAACTTTCAGTCTCTCTCTACACAGTTCAGTGCCTTGAAGGACTAAGTTTTGTGTCCTTCCTATAGTCCTTAAAATATGTGGTTTCTCTGTACATTGGGCCTCCAAACCCTGCCTATGCAGGTCCATTTACAGCCATTAATAATGTTAATGGGATGTTTGTAATTGGGATAAAACAAGAGAGGTCCCCTTCTTCCTGTTTCCACCCCTCCTTCTGCCTCACCCAACACTTACTTTCAGGTAAGCATATGCATATATGCGTACCCGCACCATCAATATGTAGCTTGCTGTGCATGCTCAGTAGCTACAGAGATGTTTACACGTCTATATCACACCGGTCATTGAGTTGCGAACAGTGCTTAAGTTCCTGAAATGTCACACAAATTTGGGTGCATAAAATGAAATGGAATTCTGCCCATGATGTACCTTTACTGGCTCTGTCGTTTAGGTATCTGCAAGTAATCACTGACTGCAATGGTACATCTACTTTGCAGCCTGTTACCTGTGTACAGTATAGCATGATAGACTCTGTGATTCCTGTTAAAAAAAAGTAGACAAGATGGAACTTGCACTTTGTTGAAGTCTGCATCTGGGTAAATAAATGCCTTGTTTTTAAGGACTGTGATTACATACGTTGCATTACTATACATTCTGGGTTTTTTTCCCTCTTAGGTCTCCTATGTAAAAGCTATTGACATCTGGATGGCTGTGTGCCTTCTCTTTGTGTTCGCTGCATTATTGGAGTATGCAGCAGTCAACTTTGTTTCAAGGCAGCACAAGGAGTTTCTGAGGCTTCGAAGAAGGCAAAAGAGACAAAACAAGGTAGGGCTCCTTTTTACTCAGTATGATCAATTTTTCATCCTGAATATAAATTGGTATAGAGCTCTGATTTCTCCTCTTAGCTCTCCTTGCCCATGAAGTAAAGTTTCATATGAAAGATTGTTTTCTAGTGTTACTTATTGATAGAGTTAAAAACTTGCTGTATGCTTTATCTGCAGTTCACTGCTGTTATCAATAAATGTCAAAGGACTGGTCACTGATCCTGCACATTCTGTTCTTCAGTTTGACTTCATCAGGCAATTGTGCCCTATGTGCAGAGTGTTAAATACCAGATATATTATTTTAAGCTGAATCAACACTAGATTTTAACAAGCTAAGAAAATACAGATTAGATGAAAGTACCATAAGGTAGATCCCTAACTAGGTAGATCATTATACTTAATGAGTAGTCATCAGTAGCTCTATGTCTTGTTGGGAGAAAGTATCCAATGGGCTTCCCCAGGGCATGACCTGGACCTAGTTTGTTCAACTTCTTTATGAATGATTTGGATGGTGGGATTGTGTGCATTCTTAGCAAATTTGCAGATGACACCAAGTTGGCTAGCGGTGCAGAAACTCTGGTGGGTTGGGCTAGGATCCAGGATGACCTGGATAGATAAAAAAATGGTCTGCAATCAATCAGATGAGATTCAACAAGTATAAGTGCAAAGCCTTACTCTTGGGAAAGAATACCTGCATGTACAAATACAGACTGGGGAATGACAGACTAGGCTGCAATAGTACAGAGAAGGACCTGGGGATTACAATACACCACAAGCTAAATATAAGCCTACAGTGTGCTCTTGTTGCAAAAAAAAAGAAAAGGCAAAAGCATACTGGAGTGTCAGCTGCAAATGAAATAAAGAAATTCTTCCTCTCTGTTCAGCACTGATAAAGCCTCAGCTGGTGTCCAGTTTTGAGCCCCAAACTTCAAGAAAGATGTGGACAGATTGGAAAGAGTCCAGTGCAAAGCAACAAAAATGATTAGGTGCCTAAGAAGCATGACTTATGAGTAGGGACCTACAGAAATCGTGATTTTGTGGATTTTGCAAAGTCTAGCATAGTCCCCAAAAGCAGGCAATGACCATGAAATCCACAAGGCAAAAAAAAAAGTAAAACTTACTGAAAACAAAATGCTGGCTCAGGGTGCTGTGGCAGCCTGCCGAGAGGAGGGAGGGCTGCCTGCTTGAAGGGCTGCTGGCAAGATGGCTGACATCCCCATCCCTTGCCGCTGATTGGCTGCGAGAGCTATCTGTCATATGGGCTCACCTCTATTCACCGATTGGTGAAGAGGGTCAGGGCTACATAACCATACCTTGCAGTCCATCAGCAGTGAGGGGTGGAGCCATATGATAGGCAGCTCTCACAACCAATCAGCAGGGCCACCAAGGCACGTTGGCCAGTCAGAGGTGTGGGAGACCCACCATGCTTTGCCCACAAAATGGCTGTCAGGCCTTGTGCTTTCCCTTTGAAACTGGCAGGCAGCTCCCTCAAATTTGGTAGGTTCCTACTTATGAGGAGAGGCTAAAAGAGCTCAGGTTACTTAGTCTGGAGAAAAGAAGATTGAAAGAGGATTTGATAATAGTCTTCAAATATCTGAAAGGTGATTATAGATTATAGAGAGGATGGAGATGGGCTTTTCTCTGTGGCTGTAGGGGACAGGACTAGAGGCAATGGGCTCTAGCCGCAGGAGAGGGAATTTAGGTTAGAGATTCTGAAGGAACTTTGAGTCTGACGGTGGTCAAGCATTGGAACAGGCCACGTAGGGAAATTATGGAATCGCCAGCCCTGAAAAATTTTAAAAGCAGGCCAGATAGATAGTTGGTTGGGGTGGTTTAGTCAGGATGTTCCTGCCTTGAACAGGGGGCAGGACTAGGTGACCTCATGAGTTCCCTTCCAGCCCTGCTTACTTATGGTTTAAATTAGGAGCAACTTGACTTCACCGCATTTATATCTCTCTGAAATTAATAAAAGAGAGATGAGGGCCAGGGGTTGACATTTTCTATCCACTCTTTTGAATTATGTTGCTTTATACAGATTTGACATTTAAACTGAGAAGATATATTTTAGGATCATTAATAAATTGTCTCCTTTAATTGTTCTGAAATTGAAAATGGAGGCATTTTTACATCCTAAATGCCATTCTGTGAGCATTTCCTATTTGTTCAGGAAACAGCCATCTTTCCTGAAATTTTATTCCAGTGTAATAGACAGAAATAAGTATTTAATATTAGGACAGGAGATTTTTAAGGGATCATTTCTGCAATTATAAGAACTCACCTTCCTTGTGTCTAAGCGCATGCCTACATTGCCTTGCCAGTGCTGTAGAGACTTTCCTGAGTACACCTTGCTCACCCATGCCTGCACACATGTGCCAAACCTGGAAATACAGTGGTGAACACATTCTTGAATTCCCCATGTGGTTCACTCTCAAAATGCTTCAGAGGCACAGGACTTGAGAGATTGCAGGTGGCACCCTTAGCATAGCTTCATTGCTGCATTTCCAGACATGCCTTGTGCAAGCAGAAGGGAGTTGAGATTTGACGGGGATTCTCCTGTCCCCAAAGTGATACAGACAACTCTTGATGTATACTAAATCCTTGTAGCTTGGTAATTTCTAGTTTGGATATTTCTTTTGTGTTGTGTTTTAACCAATGTGCTAAAGTTGATGCTGTTGTTGGTGAATAGATCTTGTTTGATGAATGGTGGGAATAATCCAATGTTATCCACCTGTTTTCTGCCACTGTCAGGTAAATATAGAGATTCATTAAGATTAAATTATCCTGGGGAACAGAACACTTGCCAACTTGTGACAGCAGTGCTGCCACTGGGTCCTTTATTTCTAAGAATTATGAAGCAGGAGTAGAAGCTGTTTTATTTATATGATGGATTTGGTTTTGGAGATTCTGTGGAGGTGAGTAAATTGGCAATAAGCTAACATTGACAAGTAACAGTATGGTAATACCATAACCATAACCATAAAATTAGGATGCTTTGATGAACAGGGGCAGTAGTTTGTGCTGCTCTTGGGCCAGTTGCAGTGATGATGATTTGACAGATTTTATTTAAAAAGGAAAATTCAAGAAGGGCTGTGTTTACTTTGTGCTAGTTTGATGCATATAAATTAATTGAACGTGTTTGGGGTATCCTGTACTGAAATACAAGGAAATATTTCATTGTAATAAATAAAATAAGGCCAGATGACTATTTGCATAGGTTGCCTTTGGCTCTTGCTATTGATCTTGACACCAGTATTTCACCTTGAATTGCAGTGTAACTAAGCCATCAATTTCATTGTATGATTTCTGCTGTTAGAGAAATCATAGAGAAGTCCTAGAGAAGTGGTTTGGAAGGGTCCATAGGTCATCTAGTCTGTTCTTTCCTTAAGTTGACTACCACTGGCCAAAGTCAGTTTATTTCTTTCTGAACTGATCTAAGCTTTCTGCGTGTTAGCCTTCTCTAACTGTGCCATTTTTCTTTTTGTGTGTATGTATATCTGTTGGGTTTTTTTGTTTGTTCTGTTTTCTACCATTGTTCTATTTCTACTTTTGCTGCTATCTATTCTGACAATCTGGGGACAGGCACAGACTGTGACTTTTGGGAATAAAAGTGTTGAGTCAATGGGATGCATGAATGGCTCGCAGAATAAAGAGTCATCAACATACAGGACAATGAATCATATCTACAGCTCAAGCTTGAGGGTAAAACTATAGCAAGAAGGAGAGAGACTTAGTGTACAGTGATGTCATATATATAGTGTACAGGATGGCCAGTTTTCATGGCATCATATGTAGCCTATTAAATGTTACAGAAAAATATACAGTCCTTAGCATGTAATGCAGTTTCATGTTATACATTTCTATCTCTTTTGGCCTGTCTTTATTTTATGTTTTTCCCACTGCTACACTCATGGCACTGCCATCAGACATTTCTCAGAGAAAGTGAATGTGCAGTGTGTAGCCTGGATCTGTAGTAAATGTAGCCTGTGGATAGTGAGTGGGGACAGCAGAAAACAGTGCCTGAAGAAAAAAATAGCCTGTTTTAGCTGTCTTTCAAATGAATGTATTCCAACAAAACTAGTATGTATTGCAAAATGCTCTATGATTGACAACACCCATTCCTAATGTTAATCCTGCAATATTTCTTCTCAGCATGTTGTGGATCTTGTTTATTGGGGTGGGAATATCTATGAATAAAAAAACTATTTTTTTTTGTAAGAGGAGTCCTAGGTCTGAAAAGTTTTATATCTGTAGCATACTCTGAATATGAATGAGTTTTAGCAGCTCTACAATAATGCACTAGCAGTCAACAGATCCAGATTATAGATGAATAGCAGAGGTAATAATTCAGTGCTGAAGGGGGAAGTGGTCTTAGGTGCCTTGCTCACAGAACAGTGCCAGTGCCTAACCGACCAAAATCTATGAACTTTGCTTGTTCAGGCAAAATGAAACCAGGACCTTAAGCTCTTCTGTGGCCCATAACTAGGGAATCGGCCCATAACTAGGGAATCAGCCCATAACTGCTTTAAAGCTGGCATATTGTTTTGTGCATCTGATTTTGAATAAGGTCAATAAAAAGTGCTGATTATTAAACATAGGTGACCATGGGGGATCTCACTACATTATGAAGAAGGAACTGGAAGCCTTCAGCATTAAAAGATAAAAAACCTCACCAAACAGTTTTCATTATGAGGCCCTCTCTTCTAATTTCCCTATGTAATTCAGTTAGTTGTTGTCACAAGGAGCTGCTGACCATACAGTATTCTATCTGCAACCAAGAAGAAAGAACAGTGGCATAAAATGTGAATGGGGCCTTTTTACTTTAGGAAAAATCATTTGTATATAAACACACACAGACCCCTGACCATAACAATTTTCAATATATAAAATTAATAATGATTGGAAGATGAAATAATTTTTCATGCTGCCCCTAGAATGAAAATCTGGTCATGTCAACCATACATGCCGGCATTGGTTGAAAAAATGTATTATGAGTTTCAGCTT